TTTTTTAAAAAGTTGATGAAAAGTTTGCTTTTGTGTGTTGATTTCTGAGTTCCTTCAGTAACAAAACCACCTTATTACACTCGATAGTTCCGGCTTTTGGCTTGAGAGGTCCATCTCAGTTTGAGAAGGTGTACACAGTTGTAACTGTTTTGATTTTTTGAATTGTGTAACTTTGAGTCCTTCAAAGTTTGAACCGTTGAATAAAACCGCAGTCTGTAGAGCATTTTAGATACATCTTTCGAGAAAGTTAAATATACTATGAAATTCAAAGCAGTCCCTTTGTCCTTTGTAAGCAATAGATCTTTTCACAGTTTCAGGCGCCTTCTTGCTTGCGGTGCAAACACGACAAAAATTACAGTAAATGTATGGGAAAGGGGGAAAATCTAATGCCTAACAACTAACACGAAATTCGAATTCTGAAATATTTATAAATTAAAAACTTAAGATACCAGGCTAAAGGATTTACTAGTCAAATTTTAGGGACAGCCTCGCTAGAAAAGTTAAGATTAACGTTATCGTTTTCCCATACTGTTGTCTGTAGAGCTAATTCGGAAAATTTAGATCGGAAAATTTAGATACATTTGTACTAAAAATTTAAAGTAGAATTCCTCGCATCACAGCATATCTGTGTTCTTCAAATTTGATCAAAAGAATCCTTCTGCTACATATTTTTTGCTTGTAACTCATAAAATCTTCAGAAACCGTCTGTTCTATGACTGACATGATCGCCCCATGTGATAAAAAAACAAAAGAAAAGATTCAGAACTTTCTGAAAAGCACATTGTTTGTAGAAAGCAGGTCAGAGAAATTGAAAAAACAAAACAAAACAAAACAAAACAAAACAAAACTAAACTAAACAAGAAAGAGTGAAAAAAAAAAAGAAAAAAAAAGCAAAACAGAAACAAACAAACAAAAAACTAGGCACACATTTTGAGAGAGTAATTTTTATGTGCTTATGCGAGCACGCGCGCCTTAATTTGAGGGAATAATTTTATCCCGGGGCGTGAACAGAATTCGTCTATCACAGACTGTCCGGCTAAAATTTAACACTTGATTTTTTTTATATGTAACTTACTTTTGTTGCTTGAATGCTTGTATAAGTAAA